TGCTTGCTTTTTATGGTTCGATGTGTTCAACATATCTTCCATGATCTAAAAAACTGTAAAATTAGGGCAAGTAGGTCAGTAGCATTTTGGCTGCTATGGCTTTGGAATTCCTACTCCCTTGAGAGCTCTAAAGAGTCATGGCAACACAAAGAGACCTTCCTTCCTGGTGATTTATTTTACGCTGCTCCCACTGGCCTGTCAAGCACAGGGTAGGAAACTGGATTGGAGCAGAATTGCCTACTGGCTTAAGTACTGAAGGCCTGGAAAAGTAACTGATACTGTCTGAACGGCTGCCTCCAAAGACTGTCCAAGTCTAGCAGATTTTCACTGTTAAAGACATTTCAACTCCAAACCCATGACCTTGTTTCCAACATAGCAAAAGAGAACATAAAACATGACCAAAGTCCTGGTCAAAAGGGTACTGTTCAGATTTATAACTTCAGCCTTCTAAGAAGAATGGCATGATGCAATACTCAAAGAAAATATGTGAGTGTGCATATGCAGGCACATATGGAGGGAGGGGGTGTCTTCAACAGGGTAAGGCTTCTTAATTTTCTAAAATAAAATAACCCACATTTCACCACATTTATTTCATTCCAGAAAAGCACAGGAACTAAGTGCATTGAAGCATTAGAGCGCATTTTCATGTGAGAAACAATGACAAAAGGCTTTTTTCATACAATACTAAACTGAGGGGAATCTGAAATTGTTCTGTGGTTATTAGAAAAAGTTGCATTTGATTAGAAAAAACAACGGTTCTCAACCTGTGGGTCGCAACCCCTTCACAGGGGTCGCCTAAGATCATCGGAAAACACATATATAATTACATATTGTTTTTGTGATTAATCACTATGCTTTAATTATGTTCAATTTGTAACAATGAATTTGGGGGTCACCACAACATGAGGAACTGTATTAAAGGGTCTCGGCATTAGGAAGGTTGAGAACCACTGGAAAACATGTATCTTATCTAAAATCTTAGTCAAATATTTGTAGAGTGTGAATGGACTTTCAACATTCTATATGTAAAAAACTTTCTATACAATTTCTTCACACTGGACAAACTGTAAAAACAACTCATTAAGACTTTGATTAAGATGTAGTTCTAGTTTTTCAAGCAGCTTTGTTTTTTGTGCCAAGTATAAGATCAGAGAACCAAGCGACTTGCTCAAGGTCATCTGGTCAAGTCAGGTGGGATTAGAATTACTGGTTCCTGCTTTCCAAAAGCCAGCCATAAATCAAACTTTTCTTGGAACTAAGCAGGCCAAAAGGGAAAAACCATTCTCCATTTCCTTTCTTCAATAATCAAAGGACAAAAGTTTAAATGGTAGAACTGCAATTAATAAAATTTCATCACTGCATCAAGTATTACCTCTTACCATGCACAGGCAACTCTCTCAAAATTGGCAACATTTAACAATTTGCAAAGGTCAGTAACCTCTATATAACCTTCCCATATGATGGCATCATAAACTTATTAAAATGTTTTTAAATCAGCACTTCATATATGCATCTATAAATAGTTCATGTATCTTCTAAAAAACTTGGTCAGACTGGAATATGGAAGTACTCTGAGCCCTTAGGTCTTTTCTAAGGTAAAGGATCATAAATAAGTTCAAAGTTTTCTTCAGAACCCTGAAAGGAACTGGGAGATTTCAACAGTGCAGGTAAAATTAGTGATTAAATAAACAAGAATCACTCAGGCTGTGGGGCTGAGAGGACTAGAAAAAGGAGGCATTTTTATCACCCTATCACCTTCCTCTTCCTTTTTCAAATCCACCATTTCCATCACACTTTCTGCCCCATCCTTTTCATTTCTACTTTTAAACTGCTAATTAAAAAAAAAATTACTTTTGAATTAACAACAAAAACATTATGTCCAATGAAGCCATATTTTTAAAAATACTATTTGGATTGGGATGGGAATATTAAAGTAGCTAAGAGTACTTTGTATTTGTTACAAATACATTACAGTCATATTTAGTAATTTTCCTCACATCCAATCTTCTCAGTCAAACAGTACCATCACCCCATTTCAGTTGACCTCAGGTCCAGGAAAATTTCCCTTTGCTCTGTAACTATGAGTCACTGATATTAAAAGCTGACATTAGATCTCAAAAGTACTAAGTTAATGGCTAGGTTGAAATCATGGCTGGGTTACATTATCTGAACAATTTTAAAACTTTTATAACCAACGATTTTTCTCATCTCAAATTCAAGTCTACCTATTTCTGAATACAGTTATAAAACATTCTTGGAGTGATGGTTTCTCTTTAGCCCTTGAGCAAAATGTGGCCACAGGGTATATAAAGCAAATCAAAAGCGAGGACTGGAAAAAATTGAACCTGGAAGGAAATACAAGTCTGACACTTTCCATTCTGCCAGAAAACAATTGTCATTACTTGGAAATATATTAGGTTGAGCCATACCAAACTGCCATTATATACAACTGTATTTCCCCTGCAAAAAAAACCAGAAATTTCATATGGTTTGATCTAATATTATTTTCTAAGCTCATTTTAATAATTATCTCAAATAAGGTCTTCATATCCCCAAGCACATAAAATCTTCTAGTGTTCTAGACTGCCTTAACCGTTTGAAAAGTTTTGCCACCCCACTGTCCAAACCTGGTCATTTGAAAAATTTAGCTCATTAACAGAAAAGCCAAGTAAAAACTACCAAACTGGCTGAACGTAACCATGTTTTCATGAAACCTAAAACCACTCCACATCCTCTTCCACTAACAGAATTTAAATCCTAAGCAGACCTGCCTTTTAGAAGACTTACATTTAAGGAGATACAATGAAAAAGTTAAGTGCTTGGCAGCCTTTTCAGTTATTAGTAATAAAGGAATCTAAGCATGGTAAAAGCCCATCACTTTTCACTGGGGTTCCACTGACCTAAAAATCTACCACTAAGGAATTTTAATTAAGTTGGTAAGTTCCATTTCTGTTGGAGAATTTGGCTTCTAATTCTTCTAATCAAAAGGGGGATTGCAATCCCTGTGGGATACATTTTTCCATTTAGATATGGCTGATTTACACACCCACAGCAGAAATAACCTGTCACCTTCACAAAAGGGGTTATGGCTCCAAGACTGCCTCTAGGTCCAAATCCATCATTTCACACCCATTTTTATCAGAGTCTAATATCCAATATGCTAATGAACTACTCTCAATGAATTCTATTAATTACTCAACATGTTCCTGTTCTACCAAAATTCCTATCTACTGGATGCTTTTCCTAAGACACCTTATAAACTGTTAGGGCAATCTGATGTTGCCTGTTCCATCTTCCTAGACCTAGTGATAGTACAAACCATCAAGTGAAATATGCTTTTAAAAAAATCAGGAGAGAATCTCCTGCTCCACCTAGAAATGTCTCTATTTAGCTAGGTCAGTGTTGATAGGTCAACAGGCACTAGTCACTACTACAATCCTACAGGGCATTTCTCTGTAATTAATTAAACCATCAACCTTTTCCTAACATCCAAATAATCCAGACTTTTCCTAGCAGAATTTACTCTCCTTGCCCCACCCTCAACATCTCCTGATCATTTTTCACCCTAAACTGAAGTTTTCCTCTAGCGCCCCAAGGTGATGCCAAGTCGGGGCCAAACACATTCCTGAAACCTTCCATCTACTCCCTTCTTTCTAAAGTTTTTTCTTGTTAATGAAAACTCTGCATCAGGTACAGTGATAAGTGTTTTAAAAGGAAATGTATCTACTCCCATCCTTCAAACCCTATGCGTTTAGGATCCAGTATCCCATTTTACAGAGGAGAAAAACTGAGGTGGAATAACTAACCCAAGGTCATACAGGCCAGGGACTCAGATCCAAGTCTGACCTCAACGTCCTCTGACCTTAACCCTCTTGCTATAGTGGCTTCTAATCTCTGGTCATGTCCTGGAGGTCTGCTCTGTGGTCTCATAAAGTCTCGGGCAGGGTTCCGTTTCTCCAGTGGCTGTCTTGCCTTTAAAGGACAAGCCTTTGCGAAGAATGAGTAACCGTCCCATCTCTTCTCCATTCTCCTCCTTCCCACCTGACACCACTTCCCCAAGGCCCTTATCACAGTCTCATTCTCTAGGGCCAATGTAAATGTCCCCTCGGACCCCAGGGCAGGCACCAGAGAATCCTGAAGGGCCGCCTTCTACCATCGAGCCTAGGAGAGGGCAGAAGTGAAAGGAAAAGGAGAGGCGCCCACAGCATCTGAAGTCCCCGCTCGGGAGGAAACTGTGGCAGGGGACCGGAGAAGGGTGTGAGGTTCTGAGCCGGGTGGGCGGGGCGGGGGTGGGGCAAAGGCAGGGAGCCGGCCTGGACGCTCACGCGGTCAGCGGATTGAATGGGGAGTGGACGTCCCTACGGGAAGGGGGGTGCCGCCGGGCGAGGAAAGGGATCGGGTCACTGGGAAGAGAACGTGTGCGTGGGGAGCAGGACCGGAGGTGGACGCGGAGGGGAAAGTGGAGGGAAGAAAGGGTCGGGTGATGAGCAGGAAACGGTTTAGTCACGGGGAGGCGGGAGGGGGAGGATGGATGGCCACCAGGAAGGTGGGGCGCCTCCAGACCCGCGCACTAGACGAG